GTGTGTGTGCATGAGAGGGGAGGGGGCTTTACAGTTTTATGTTATTGTTGAACGATATTTTTATAGTGAATATTCTCTGGGACTCTGGGTTTTTAGGACTCACTGAGACGGGGAGTACCATTTTGTGTTGCAAATGCCGTAAAACTCTTTACTACATACAGTTTTTTTCTCTCTTTCTCTCTTTCTCTTCTTCAGTACTTCTACTATGAATGAACATAATATACTGATGACAATTCTTCTCTCTATCCCCTCCAGCACTTCCGCGAGCAGCGAGTGGACGGCCGTATCTTGGCCCTGCTGACCACTGACCACCTGGTCAAGACGCTGGGCATGAAGCTGGGGCCGGCCGTGCTGTTGGCTGAGGCGGTGGCCAAGAAGCTGCAGGATATCAGCAAGATGGCCAACTGTGATGCGTGCCGGAGCATCGCCATGAGCCAGCAGATGACGCCCATGGCCGCCCTACAGCTCTGAGCTCTACGTGTGGGTTTGGGAAAGACTCGGAATTTCATGATCGCACCCAATTCCCTCGGAGAGATCTGTGGGGAGCTTCATCCAGTTCGTCGACGTGAAATCCTGTTTGTCACTAAAGGACTCGCAATAAACTTTCTTGACTGAAAGGCGATGGAGTAATAATTGCTGAGGGCTGAAAAAGCGATACTTACAGATATTTAGCTTTCAGCTCCACAATGGAAGCAGGCAGGTTTACCTGATATCATTGATGTAACAACCCTCCTGGAACAACAATGGGTTAAAGATAACAACAATGATGTCCGTAATATCTTAAGCTGGACCTTCACTGCGGACTGAAAGCTACTTTGGATTTCCACGTTTGAGCCAGGATCTTTACCAGGAGTGCGTTTGTAGTCCAGAGGTGTGAGGAAAATGTGTAAGCGTTGGACACTCAAAAACTCATTGGGTACCAGTGGTCCTTTTAGTATTCTTCATGGCTGTGACATTTATCAGAGTGCTGCTTTGATTTGATCGCCAATTCTCTTCCCCCCCCCCCTCCCACTATCGTTGGTATCCTCGGAGTCTACCTACCTACGATACAACGCTGTGTGACTTCCTTCCTTCTGGTTTGACGAATGAAGTGAAGTTTTTTGACGTTGACTGACTTTCCAGTGTGCTGCGATTTTCTTTCTGGATTATGGCAGAGTTTCAAGAGACTTGTGTTAGTTGATAAGGACCTACTGAGTGAGCTCAAGAAAATCGGGACCTAGTAGGTCATTGATTCTGATAATGTGGATGGGCAAATTTGGTGAATCGGACAGACTTGGTGTGTGCATGCCTCTGTCTCATCCGATTTGTCAGTGGCCCAGGATCTGTTTTTCTCTTTTCTTTTTCTTTATATAATGTCAGTGTTCGTGTGAGATGATGCCTTTTGTGAAGACATAAAAAAAAAACCAACATCACAGATGTTGACGTCAGCTTTTTCATTCTTAGTTGTCTGTCAATAGAATAGACCTAAATTTGGAGTTCATTAGGGGGTGGGGGAGTGGTGGAGATAAATCTTATTTTGTATTTATTCAATTAATTGACAACGTTTTGGTCCTGAAAATGAAAAGATACATTCGGGATTACAGTACTATAGATCTGCTGTGCTTTCTTGAGTCCTAGCAAGAAACGAGTGTGAAGTTTAGATGGTGTGGGGGACATGTTCTGGATTTTGGAAAACCTTGAGATAAACTTCATGTACCGTAGAAGAGACCCTGCTTGTCCTGTGTTTTTTTTGGATGTGATAGTAATTTAGAGTAATTGCACATCATGACTTGACTCCCAATGTCCGTGTCTCGTGAAATGTTTTCTTGTTTCTTGTGTAGACTTTCACTTTGTAGGATACTTCCTTCACCCTCACCCCTCCCTTTTTAAAAAAACTTTTTAGTCAAGATAGGTTCACCCCCCCCCCTCCCCCTTCAACACTTTCTTTTCTTGCAAGTGCCATTTCCAGTGCCCCCATGTTTCTTATTGGTTCATTTTTTCATCTCCCACCCTGAAAACGTTGGGTGATTTTCTTTGTATTATTTCATACTACATCTTTTGCGTCTGTTACAGTTCAACAACAGCTTGCCCTGTGGCTGCCCCGACCAAAAGTGACTTTGTGTCGCTGTGCAGCGTATGGCTGATTCATTTATCCACAATACATGATGATAATGATGCATAAAATAATTTTCAGTACTCCTCGAGCGGGGTTTGGGGGGG